TGGGTTCCAGCAGTCACTACAGCTGGTTCGCTTGTGGGCATGCCGTGCAAACGTGCTTGATGCGCACTGTGCGCTCATGCACAGTACAATAAAAATTGTTCTGCGCATGCACAGAAGCAAAAAACAAGATGGCAGTGCCTACGGCGCCACCCAGAGAACCAGTTCGGGGGCATGGGAGGCCTGGGTTGCTGCCGGTTCCAGCAACCCAGGCTGCCAAACCACTATCAGTTCGGCCAAACCGGTCCGAACCGGTAGGAACCCACCACTGCTAACAGGTCATGGAAGTTTTCTTGCAACCTATTCCCTATGTATGACTTCAGGGTGAAAGCAAATCTGGCCATAGGTTCTGTCTCAGTTTACCTTCCCAATATGCAGCTGAGTCAGAAGATCATTTAAGAACAGTTTATTACCCCTGATAAAGTGGGATCTCTCTACGAAAAAGGAGAGAGAGCCCTGAGCTCCACGTTTCACTCTTTTTTTATAGTTAACATAACAAAGAAAATGCAAGAGGAAAGTTGATTGGACATAATAAAAGTAACCGCTCCTCTACATAGGAAATCAGTTACATGTAGTCAAACATACTACATATTTGCATCCCATAATATCAAACATGTTAGTTAAAATGAGGTGTGACATGAGAAAGGGGTGGAATTGTAAGGAACAGGGGTGTTTGGAGTTCACAAAAGAGATGAACCAGACTCCAATTTATACTAACAAAGGTTTTCTTATCTCCAGTTTATTAGATTAGGAATGTTAAAAGCTAATATATCTGAACATCATTTTAAAAGAGAGAAAATAAATAAAATTAAAATACAAAGTAACTATGTTACTTAACAAATTACAAAACCCATGGCATTTGCCCCTCAAAAGTCAGGACTATATTAAGGTACTCAATGTTTTGTTGTTGCAAAGTCGTATCTGACCCATGGACAACGTTCTTCCAGGCCTTCTTGTCTTCTACCATCCTCTGGAGTCCATTTAAGCTCATGCCGACTGCTTCGGTGACTCCATCCAGCCACCTCATTTTCTGTTGTCCCCTTCTTCTTTTGCCCTCAATCTTTCCCAGCATGAGNGCCTGGTGAGATTTGAACAGCCGAACTGCAGAACTGCAGTCAGCTGAAGTAGCCTGCAGTGCTGCATTTAACCACTGCGCCACCTCGGCTCAGTGACACCCCCTAGTCACATGACTATATATCCACGCCCACCCAGTCACATGACACCCCCAAGCCACGCCCACTAGATCCGGTAGGGGAAAAAATTAGATTTCACCACTGCTGCAAACTTTCCCCCTGTTATGCTGCTCCACAAGGAAAAAGCCTTGGAAACGAAAGCAGCTTAATTTTACCTGAATTAGGTCACTAATAAAGGAAAATTAAGTCCTGAGTATCAATTGGCTCCAGTTCCCAAAATACAGCTTCAGGCGAAAATGGCATCAAAATAACTCAAAATTACGAGGGCGAGGGGGAATGTACATTTATGCTCCATAACCTTTCTGCAAAACGCAATGTACCAATGAGGATGGTGCCACGCCAATCATTATAAATTTATCTTTTTATTGATACCAAGAGCATAACTTTCCATTTGTTTATTGCTGTTTCGTGTAACATTTTCAAGCTTCTGGCATGAAAAACTGACATGCTCTAACACCAGATTAAACGACAAGGTTCTAACTTTATTCGGTATCTAAACTGGGCTTTTTGGCTTTTCTCTTGTGAACTGCTGTAGGATCCTGTCGGAGATCCTACAAGCATAGCATTGGCATCTTTTCTCCATGCCTGCTCCATGCCTGCGATATCCTGGTGGAATCTCTCCCCATGCTCATCACTTACTGTCCCACAGTTCAAAGGGAAATAGAAATAGCACTTAAGACTTCTGTACTGCTTTACAGTGTTTTACAGCCCTCTCTAAGCCCCCAACAATCTGGGTCCTCATTTTACCAAACCCGGAAGGATGGAAGGCTGAGTCAACCTTCCAGGTGAGGATCGAACTGCCCAATTGCAGGCAGAAGTAGCCGGCAATACTGCATTCTAAGCACTGCGCCATGGTGGCCCTTGAAATAGTCTAAATGCGAGTGTAAGAAATTAATTTTCAGTGACATGCTTTCTAGGACCTAAGCAAATCTTCCACGTGTTTTTCATAGTTATCTGCCTTGCTGTTAATACAATACAATAATACAACAGCAGAGTTGGAAGGGACCTTGGAGGTCTTCTAGTCCAACCCCCTGCCTAGGCAGGAAACCCTATGCCATTTCAGACAAATGGCTATCCAACATCCTCTTAAAGACTTCCAGTGTTGGAGCATTCACAACTTCTGGAGGCAAATTCTGCTCCACTGATTAATTGTTCTAACTGTCAGGAAATTTCTCCTCAGTTCTAAAGTTGCTTCCCTCCTTGTTCTCAAAGTGAAGATAAAGGTAGACCCTTCCACGTGGTACCATTTTCATTGTTCTAGCGTACTTTGTCGAGAAGTTATGAGGCATCATGATCAGAGGTTGTATTCAGCCGGTTCGGACTGGTTTGCCCGAACCGGTAGCGGAAATTGCAGGTGGGCCCGCACCCGCCCTGGCTCTATGCAATCCTATTTAGGCATGTTTTGTAGGCTGGGAACACGCATGGAAGGCGCGCATGCAAGCAAAGCACATGCGTGGAAGGCTGGGTGCGTGTGAAGTGGGCACGGGAAGGTGGGGCAAACCAGGGGTAACAAAATGTGAAACCTACCGCTGATCATGGTCGTTAAGACACCTCCCTCCTTTTAGGCAAATATCCTCGCCGGTTCCACCACAAATGCGCGAACGACAAAAGCGCGCCTGACTAAACCGCGGTGACAAAACCGCGCCGACAAAACCACGCTGACGAATGAGCGCTGAAGCGCGCCGACAACAGCGCGCCGACAGAAGCGCGCTGTAACCCTAACCCTAAACCAAACCCTAAACCAAACCCTAAACCTAACCCTAAACCTAACCCTAACCCTAAACCTAACCCTAAACCTTACCTTAACTTAAATCGCGCTTCTGTCGGAGCGCTGTTGTCGGCGCGCTTTTGACATCGCGGTTTTAGCGCCGCGCTTTTGTCGGCACGCTTTTGTCGTTCGCGCATTTGTCGGGTCACGATCCTCGCCTGTGTATACATCTATATTGGGAAATATCTTGAAAACTTTAGCCAACCAGCACCTTGATCACCTGTTTTCTAATTCATCTAATCAAAATATGTTATGCATGCACATTCACCGCCTGCGACACTCTAGTTGCTCGGCGGAGCATTGCGCAGGCGCCGTACGCTGTGTGCGCAAATGGCCCGGTTGGGTCAAATACAGGTAAGGAACGCGGGTGGGCCCTCTGAAGAACCGTACAGGAACGGTGCCTGCTGCTCCCAGCAGGCAACGGTACACTTGTACCGGGTCATACCGGCCAGAACCCACCACTGGTGTAGACCAGTGTTACCTTAATCTCTTGCTTCTGACTCCTGAGGAACTCTTCTGCGAGGCCCACAGCCTGGGAGCAAGTCTGAGGACAACGGACTCTGACCCAGCCCTGCATCTCTGGAGGGAGGATGGCCAGGAATTGCTCCAAGATCACCAGTTCCAGGATCTGCTCTTTGGAGTGTTTCTCTGGCATCAGCCATTGCCGGCAAAATTCCCGGAGTCTCTTGCAAACCTCTTGAGGCTCTTCAGCTTCTTGGTAACTGTACTGCCTAAAACGTTGGCGCTGTGCCTCGGTCAAGAGAGCCTCTTGGTCCACAAGTAAGTGCTTCATCGGCCTGTTTTCTTCCACCCCTGGACCATAAAGGATCCGAGGACGTAACTCTCCGTTGTTGACCACCAAGAACTGAGGAACACTTTCTCCATTCGACCACTGGCTGGTGTTGGGGACGGACTCGCAGGAGTCCCAGGGGAAAGGTTTTGTCTGGTGTGGAGTCCCCAACCCAGGAGGACGAGGCTGGACTGCCTTCAAGACTTCCTGCCACTGGGTCTCCCAGCGTTGAGCCAAACCTTCTTCTGATCCTTGGATTATCTCTTGGGGAGGCATCCAGCCTAGAAATTCTCCGATGGTGCCAACCTGAATGACCCGAGGGACCGTCCGTTCCCCATCCGCGTCTAGAGCCCGCACTTGGGCTTCCTCCTCAGGCTTTTTTGGGGGGTGTCCCAGAACATTCTGCAAGGAGAGAAAGGCGGCTCCTCCAGCCCTCAGTTCGGTAGCCATTTTGGCGGCTAACGCTTCGCAGAAGGCAACGGCCACATATAATGGAGGAAAGGTCCCGGTTGAGGCGGACAGGAGCTTTTCAAAGCCGCAATGGCGAAGGTTTCGAAGCCAAATAAGCTCATGAACAATTGTAGTCTCTACTTTGAAAGATAGCTTTCAAAGACAAAGATGAATGATTACAAAGGAGGAACCAGGCGGATCTTCTGGTGAGGCCCACAAACTTTGGAAGATTTCAGTAAAAAGAAAGAAGAAGAAATCACTCAAGGAAGGGACCAGCAGCATTTCTGGTCAGCAGAGATAATTTTCTTCCTTGGATAGACGCCCAGCTGATTCTGAAAGAGAGAAACGTACTTTAAAATGTTGGAATAAAACTCGGATTATCCCCAGATATTTTAAGTACTTATTAATCCGATCTATCTAGCCGCACATCTCACATGAGTTGAGTGAACTGTGGCCCTATTTTTTTTTCTGAGTTCAGGAAAATTCAACAGCGTGCAGACTTTTTAAAGATAATTTCACCAGCTTCTAATCAACATAATATTCTACAACCTTGTTAGATTTCTTTTGTTTTCAACCAGCAGAATTATCACTGTTTGTTTATTTATTTTTTAAAAATTGGTGTGGTTGCCTGGCTGAAAATGGCGTTATGCTTTAACTTACCTCAACTTACAACCGCAATTGCGTGCAACATTTATGTTGTTAAAACAAGACCCCTGCTCAATGAGTTTTGCCCAATTTTATGACCTTTCTTCCCACAGTTGTTAAGTAAATCACTGCAGTTGTTAATAATATGGTTATTAAGGGAATCTGGCTTCCCAATGGAAGGTCGCCAAAGGAGATAATGTGATCCTGGGATGCTGTAACCATCGTAAATGTGAGTCCGTTGCCAAGCTTTTGAATTTTTATCACGTGGCATGGGATGCTGCAACAGTCGTAAGTGTGAAAAAATGGTCATAAGTCAATTTTGCCAGAACTGTTTGTAACTTCTAACCGTCACTAAAGAAATGATTGCAAGTTGAGGACTATTTTTCTTTTTCCTTCTCTTTTTTATTCTTGTTTATTCGACTGCAAAATCTTATGGAAAGGATTATCCTTCTGATGTAATCTATGCATCTACAATCCTAACAAGGAATTAAATGGGATTTGATCCCAAGTAAATGAACCAAGGAATGTAAAATGTTAACCTGAAATACTGTATTTAAAAGTTACCCTTTTTATCCTCTAGAATTTAAAGAACCAATAATGTGTCCCTTCTCAGCTGCTTTTCCCCAAAACAACCCTGCAGAGTAGATTAGATCCAAAAGGTACAACTGTTTAAAATCGGAGTCTCGCCTGTTTTGAGTCCAACAATTTGAACATCCTGGGAAACAGATATAACCCTTCCTGTTTAGACTCTTCGATTTAAGATGTTATACCAAGTTTTTGGTCCTTTTAAAGTTTTTTTTTTTAACTACCAAAGATTTTAAAGATATTTTTAGAGGTAAACCATTAACATTTTTAAAAAAAATCAATTTTACTTCATATTGGGATTGTTTCTAATAAGAAAGAGAAAAAATGGATTGCAACATTTTTAAAATAAATAAATCAGGGCCTAGAAGGCATCCTTAAAAGATAATATTGGTAGGGACCTCAATTCCAACACACCTGGGCAGACTTAATAACAGACTTAAGACTAACTTCATTGTCACTTTAAATGAACGCTAATCGCCCTAAATTAAAATGAAATTTCATTGCATACAGCTCTCTCAAAGGGTCACCGCCTCCAATATATACTACACAAACTTGACAAAAATAAATAAACGAATACAACATTATGCACATACTGCAAATTCTTCTCTCTTTGGACTAATCTGGGTGTAACTTTACAAACCTCGGCTTCTTCGATGCTAGAAACAAATTCTGAAGCATTCTTAGCTTACACCACTGCTACTCAGATGTCAAGTAAAGAGGGGAAGTTATAAAAAGTGTTTCAAGTTCTTTTTTGCTGGGGTTTTCAGGCCCGTGTGGCTGCCTTGGCCTTACCTTCTGAGAGCACCCGCCATCCAAATTCATCGCTGTAAAGAGACAGAATGCTAAAGCTTTTTAAAAGGGCAGGCATCGCAGCTTATTGCAGCAGGAAGAAATAAAATTCCAGTGCTCTTTTTTATTTTATTTTTTAAGCGGAACCAAGGAGAAAATGGAAAATAAAAGGTTCCCCCCCCACCCCCACTCCCGGGGAAAGAAACCTCAGCTGCCGAGACAGATTGCCAACTGAAAATGAATGTAAGCATCGCACAAAGGAGAAAAGAGTGCAAGAGAGCGCGAGGACCACAAGTGACCGAGATTGGACCGTCCAAAAACCTTGACATCCCAATTTTGCACACAGCTTGATTCTCACCTGCGCATTAATGCTTTGTCCCCACAATCTACGGGGAGTTCCCCTGGCGTAGATGGGAATGGGGTGGTGGTGTCGGCTGTTGGCCTCTTGTTGTTCTCCGGGTAGTTTCCTACAAGGCAGGAAGAGGCCTTGCCAATATTATACACACCCATCCTCCAGCCCCAAGGTTACTCCAGCCTCTCTAGGAAGTAGGAGTGGCTGCGGTGTAACCCTTTAGTGGGCTTTCGGAGGCGCATGGAGGGAGCAACTGGTGTGTGAGAGCAGGACGGCCCCGTGGCTTCCTGTTGAGGTGTACACGGAGAACATTTTGATTGGGGTTCTTTTCTTTAAAAAAAAGGGGGGGGGGATGGCCAGGATGACAATTCCACACAAGGCCTGGGGACGATAGAGACCTGCAATTAGGCTCCTGGGATTTCTAGCACAGCTGGAGAAGAGGATTCCCTGGCCTGGACAATCAGAAGGGAAGAGCTTATAATATCCCAAGCATCTCTCAACGGGATCAGCATCAGTACGAACATCGCAACATCTTCTAATTTCAGGGTTTACTCCAACTTTGGAAACTTTAAAGACAGGTGGACTTCAACTTCCAGAATTCTTCGGTCAGCCGTGCTTTAAACAAGTTGGCTTCTCTCTCGGGGTGTTCACTCTTTCAATTGATAGCAGTGTCGCTATATCTCAGGGGTTGCCACAAAGAAGAGGGAGTCCAGCTATTCCCCAAAGCACCAGAGGGCAGGACAAGAAGCAATGGGTGGAAACTAATCAAGGAGAGAAGCAACTTAGAACTAAGAAATTTCCTGGCAGAACAATTAATCAGTGGAACAGAAGTTGCCTCCAGAAGTTGTGAATGCCCCAACACTGGAAGTTTTAAAGAA